CTGCCCCATATTCAAATTCAGATGATCCATCAAGTACCTCAAACTCTTGTGGTCAGTGTAGATAGTACACCTAATCCCATACAGATAGTTCCTCCAAACCTTGAGGGCAAAAACCATACCCCCAACTCCAAATCATGTGTAGAATAATTCGCTTCAAAAGGCTTTAGCTGCCTCGAAGCATATGCAATCACATGTCCTCTCAGCATGAGGACAACTCTAGATCTGAGATAGATGCATCATAATAAACCACAAAATCATCCATGCCCTCAGGGAGCACGAGAATAGGGGCCTTGCATAATCTCTACCTCAGAGTCTCAAAAGCCAACTGCTGATCAGGCCCCCACTGAAAAGTAACATTCTTCTGCGTCAAGTGGGTCAATGGCACTGCAATCTTAGAGAAATCCTGGATAATTCTTCGATAATTCCCAGCGACACCTAGGAAACTACGAATCTCAGATGGGGTCCTCGGTACCTCCCATCACATCACGACCTTGATCTTGGCCGGATCGACCAATATACCCTTCTGGTTGACGATGTGCCCCAAAAAATGCACCTCTCGCAACCAGGCCTCACATTTGGAGAATTTGGCATACAACCTCTCCCACCTCAGGGTCTCCAACACCTCTCGTAAGTGCTCCTCAAGCTGCTCCTTGGTCTTGGAGTAGACCAGAAAATCATCAAAACACTATCACCGACTGATCCAACACAGGCCTGCAAACCCGGTTCATGAGATCCATGAACACTTCCGGTGCATTGGTGAGCCTGAATGGCCTCACCAAGAACTTGTAATGACCATAACAAGTCCTGAAGGCTGTCTTTTGAACATCGTCGTCTCTGACCCTCATATGATGGTAACCTGATCGCAAATTAATCTTGGAAAACCAAGATGCACCCTGAAGCTGGTCAAATAAATCATCAATCCTCGGGAGAGGGTAACTATTCTTCACTATTAGCTTATTCATCTCCCAGTAGTCAATGAACATCCCGTGCAAACCATCCTTCTTTTTCATGAACAAATTTGGTGCTCCCCAAAGTAAGTTGCTCGGTCGAATGAATCCCTTGTCTAGCAGCTCCTAAAGCTGCGTAGACAACTCCTGCATCTCCGATGGTGCCAAACGATACTGTGCTTTGGCTATCGGGGCCGCACCAGGAACTAGATCAATACGAAACTCGAACTACTTCTCGGTAGGCACTCCTGGAAAATACTTAGGAAACACATCGGGTAAATCTCGAACAATAGGCACCTCACTCAACGTTGTCTTTCCGTCGACCCGAGTATCCACCACATATACTAGAAACCTAAAACAACCCTGCTGAAGATACCTCCTCACTCTCGCAGCTGAACAGAGATTTGACCCCTGCATAGCTCTCTCACCAGGAATAACTAGTTCTCCCAAACTTCGGGTTCGAACTCTCACCAGCTGACGCTCACAATCAATCATGGACCTATTAGGACCCAACCAGTCGAAGCACTCACCAAACGATCAAATCAAAAGAGTACTTCTCGCTGAACAGTTTCATGACACACCCACGATGAACCCTCGAAGCATTCACCGAATGATCATCAACAATCTCAACCTCCAACAGATAATCCAAAACCCCGGGAGCATCACTAAACTTGTCGCTAAGCGCAATAGATACAAAGGATCGAGTAGCACCCGAATCAAACAAAACATGAGCATTCATACCATTGACTAAGAAAGTCCCTATATAAAATAAGATATATTATGAACATAAATAAAGAGAGGAGAAAAGATAAAAGAAGATTACATACCGATAACCACATACAGTGCTGCTCGAGTGTGACATCCCCATTTTCACGGCCAGAAAATACCGATTTTGTTTATGCTTGTTTGAAAATCAGAGTAACATTTTACATAAAAGTGTTGCGGAATTTGTTCCCAATATAAAAATATGATAAAGATTTATCAAAGCATTTCCGTAGAAATGTATTTCATTAAAAAGACTCGGGATGTCATGTTCGATACAGATCAAAAGCATAAACAGTACAATATAAGCCTTACTACATTATTTCATATCTACAGGCCTATATCCATAATCCCTCATCCAAAACATCACATCTATGTTCGAGCGCCACTACCTGTAATACATGAAACTGAGTGGGTCAGGCTTGGGAGACTGGTGAGCACATAGGGTTTTCAACCCACAATAAATAAGTTAATTAATTTTATCATCCAACAATAACCCGATTACCCGTTCCCGTTATCCTCACATTACGTCCCTAAAACACCTATCATAAAGGACCTATACTAAGGATCAACATCGGGATGGACACCACTGCTAAGGGGGTTCCTCAGCAATAAATGTCCTAAAGGCAACCATGAGGGGATAGAGTATGTCACACCCCAAAACCGGAACGACGGAAACGTTCGGGGGCGGAGGACGTCATGTACAGTATCGTAACAATGCAAAGTAGTAAACAAGCAACAACATCATTCATTGCATTAATAGTATAATTTGATACAAGTGTATTCTTTCATAGTAATAAGACACCAAAACAAGTAATCAAAATATAAGACGAGTCTTGAACGTGCTCCGTCTTCTCAAAACCTGGTCGACTGTACCTGTCTACTGATGACCTAAGAATACAAGTTATTTTGAAAACGTAGATCAACATTTAAGTTGGTGAGTTCATAAGTATTTAGTGACAATGTTTGTATAAGTTGGATGAAAATGTTTGTAAATGTTCAATGTAAATGTTTGTATATGTTTGAAAACTCCTAAAAAATCCTATATTTTCTACTAGTATAAAAAGTAGTCTTCTACCAAGACCCGACTGTTTTGTATGTTTGATTCTCTGTAAAAGTGGATGTTTTTCCCAAGTATGACTATCATTACCAAAATATAGTTTTATATTACCCTTTATGTGAGAAGATCACAATTTGAATATAATGGGAAACTGTATGTGTACTGCAGTATTTCATGTAGTAACTACTGTAGTAATAACTACCTTAAACCAAATGGCTTATATAAGGTAAAATGTGATGAGGTTGTTACCATACTAAACCGACTAAAACACGACGATGAAAGACATCGGAAGAAATGACATTTGGCACCCGTAGACTTGCAAGTCCCACTGTAGCGAGCAGCAAGGTGTAGGATAGTCAATCCAGTATAGATCTATACGCAAAGTCACGCTCTCCCTCCAGGAGATTCTGGTTACAAAATGTGACACAACGAAATGGTCGTTGTGTCATGAAGTAGTATCTCACATTATGTTATCTTTGAACCTTGTTATAGTATACTTGTTATAGTAATAGTATTCTATGTATAGTATTCTCTGTATAGTATCCTCTGTCTAGTATTCTCTGTTATAGTATTCTCTGTTATAGTATTCTCTGTCTAGTATTCTCTGTTAAAGTATTCACTGTTATAGTATTCTCTGTCTCGTATTCTCTGTTATAGTATTCTCTGTTATAGTATTCTCTGTATGTACTTGTATATGATAGTATTCTCCTAAACTATACCTATTATAGTTTACTAGTAATTTATGTAGTTTGAATGAATGTATGCATTTGCTACCTAAAGGTACTGAACTGATTGATAGTACTTTTATATCTACATATGTATACATAATATATAACTAAGATTTAGACGACACTCGGACAACTAACCGATACCCTAAGTTCACATCCAAACAAGGAAAAGGAAATAAAGCAAGTTAGCAGTCCTAAGTCCTTTAAACATTATTTATATAACTATACATATATAGACATGCTTTTAACAATATATAAGTTTAAAAAGGTTTTGTAATTCAATTAAAGAGTTTTAACTATAAATATTAATGACTTGATGTCAGTTTATAAAACGATTTAAAAGCAGTTTGTTTGATAACACAGTTTAAAGTATAAGAAATCCTTTGTTTGAAACACAGTTTGAAGTATATGAAATCCTTTTTTTGAAACACAGTTTGAAGTATATGAAATCCTTTGTTTGAAACACAGTTATAAATCACATGTGATTGATTATATAACTAGTATGTTTTCTACTTTTATTCCCCCCCCCCCCCCATAAAAGCATTTAAAATCATTTAAAACATAAGTTAAGGGGGTATGAACTCACCTGTAGTGAGTGATGCGAATGTAAGATCGGTAAAGGATGCTAAGTGTCAAGCGAAGACTTGAGCACACACGGATCCTATTTAGCATATAATGACACATATATGTATCTAATTAGTGTTATAACATCTGATCATGAAATGGAACAACCTTAGGGACTAGGAAACACTTGTAACGAAGTGTTAAACCACATAGGGTTGCATATAAGGGATGTATGGCCACACTAGGGTGATTACGGCCCAAATGGTAAGACCAATGGAGTTCACGGCCATGAGTTTACGGCCACATGAGTTTATGGTCGTAAACTCATGTCATTTTGTGAATATGGGTGTTTTAAAGGGCTTTCCAGCATTAAGGAAGGATCCTATGTTCATGTCATGCCTTAGGAGGAGTTTAAGGTCCAAATGCCCCAGTAATTAGGGTTTACGGCCAAGGGAGATGCTCTTGGCTGTAAACACCTTTTGTTCTTGATTTCATGTTGTTTTCAAGGTGATTAACATGTGATTCAAGCATATATCAAGCTAAGGAGAGAGTACTTACAATATAGAAGCTTGATAGGGTGATCAAGGTCCAAAAACACTAGTGTGTGTTCTTGGTGTTCTTGGTGAAATGAAGAACATTTGAAGATCTATCAAAATGCACTACAAGAAAAAGACCCTTTTACGACGCGCAAACAACGACACTCATTGATTTATGTTACGTAAAAGAGAGTGACATTAAAAAAGTGTCGTCTCTTCAAAAAAAATTAAGGATTTATGTCACGCATTATTGCGTGCCCTTAAATTAGTGTCTAAACAGGAAAAAAAAACACACGGAGGGCACCTATAATAAAATGTGTGTCGTCTAAAGATGTGGCTTTATAAATTTTAATGGAACGCGCATTCCATCCGGGGGAGAATGAAATCCTAAAAAATTAAAAACCCCGCATCTTTTTCTTCTTTCCCTCTTGCCCTAATTATTGACGGTCCTTTCTTTCCCTCTGTCTCTCTCGGTCGCTAGCTAGGTTTTTATTGAAAGCTTGAATCGATCGACTGAGGTAACCAAAGTTCAAGCGAACCAGGAAAGGGTTTTCAGTGAAATCTACTGTTACTCTTTGAAATCGGATCCAATCCTACCTTCGCCCCATCCTTCTTGTCTCTATCGGTTGCTACCTAGGGTTTTTCGTGAAAGCTTGAATCGATCGACTAGGGTAACTAAAGGGTAAGCGAACCGGGAAAGGGAAGCAATAAATTTGACTTATCTTTTATTCTTTTCTTGCAGACAAAACTCAAAAGTGCAGTTCAATTGCGGGACTTGTTAGATGCTACACGGATATTAGTACCTCGTACTAGGTATTTCTAAGAGTTCTGTTGCATCTCTTTTACTATTTTAGTTAATTAGTAAAAGATTTGATGTTATATATATATTTTAACGGGATATTTGGTTAAAAATAGACCTGGTCCTGGAAGAGACAGCGAGGCAGAAGACATTGAACATACAGAAAAGCTTCGTCAAGTCAAAGCAGTCCGTGAAGAGGTTTACATTTAGATTTATCATTCTTACTGCAGTTGTATATTTACTTCCAGTTTTACATTCATTTCATATATTAAGCCGAGATACTTTATGAATTAGATGACAACTTCTTTGTTTCCAGGATGGACATTTCTCAGGAATTTATCGAAAGGTTCAACTTAAGCCACTTAAGTGGGTTAAAGTTGCAAAAGGTGATACTGAAGAAGAACGCCCCATTGAAGCACTCATGGTTTTAAAATATGGAGGTGTTCTTACACATGCTGGTCGAAAACAGGTATTTATTGTCTTCTAATACATATATGATATATAATCATGGTTAATACCCATTTAAATATATGTGCATTGCTTATTTACAGGCTGAAGAACTTGGGAGATATTTTCGCAACAATATGTATCCAGGTGAAGGGACTGGACTCCTTCGCCTTCACAGCACATATTGCCATGACCTTAAAATTTACAGCTCTGATGAGGGCCATGTGCAGGTATTGATATCATCTTCAGTTTTTTGCTTTCGTGGGCCCCATTTGACGACTTATCAATCTTGACAGATGTCAGCTGCTGCATTTGCCAAGGGGCTCCTAGATTTGGAAGGACAATTAACACCAATACTGGTTTCACTTGTTAGCAAGGATTCATCAATGTTAGATGGAATTGATAATGCAAGTATTGAAATGGAAGAAGCTAAGGTTGTTTTTCTTGTACTCCGTTACCCTATAATATACCAATTATTTTATATTTTTTTTTGCTTTATATAAATTTAACTTTTTTTTAATGCTCTTTTAGGCAAGATTGAACGAATTGATAATAACTGGAGTGAAAGCAGCACAGGCAAACGGATTATCTATTAAAAACCCTAGATGGTTGATGGGGCTGGACTTCCACTCAATGCTGCAGACCTTCTACCTACACTGGTAAAATATTTATTTAATAGGTAATTTAGGCTGGTAAAATATTTATCTTACTGGTTTAATATGTGTTTTATAGGTAAAGCTGACTAAAAAAGTTACTGAACAAGTGAGACTGCTAGCAAAAGATGAAGATGAAAAGCTTGCTGAAACAACCTCATATGATGTGATTCCACCATATGATCAAGCAAGAGCACTTGGTAAAACAAATATAGATGTTGACCGAATTGCTGCTGGATTACCTTGTGGAAGTGAAGGCTTTCTTTTAATGTATGCGAGATGGAGAAAAGTTGAAAGGGACTTGTACAATGAACGCAAAGAGTGAGATATTTTTTTTTTTTGCAAATTAATTTCGTGTCATGGTTATTATAATGATTGATTAATTAACATTTTTTCTTTCTTTGTATTTCCTTCAACAATAGGTACGACATAACACAAATTCCAGATGTTTACGACTCATGCAAGTATGATCTGCTGCACACACTACAAGAAAGGTTAGCATTACTGGCGACGCCTTTAGCGGCGACACCAGGCAATAGCGGCGACATGTAATTGACGCGTTACATGTCGCCGCTATTGCCTGGTGTCGCCGCTAAAGGCGTCACCGGTAATGCTCACTTACAGCGATCCGCGTCAAAATACCCTCATCCGTCCGATTTCTTTTCAATCCAACGGTTGTAGAGGAAAGCGAAAAGACGCGCTGACTTTTCCCTCCATGTGTCGCCGCTATTGCCCTAATGTCGCCGCTAATACCCGCCGTCGCCGCTATTGCGTGTCGCCGCTAATGCCCGTGCAGATATCCCATTTCCAGTTTACCTTTCTGCGACTTTCTTTTCTGCACTCTCGTTTCTTCTCTCGTTTTTCTCTCGTTTCTTTGTCACGTTTTTCCGACTTGGTGGACTAGGAAGTGCGTGTTGGGACCGGTGCTAGCCCCTCCTTCCCCCAAGACCGCCACAAGACCGCCACAGCCCCCAAAATCGGCGACCTTGAGCTACATTCCGAAATTGCCCTCATTCAAGGTCGAATTCCTCCTCTTTTTTATGATTTTTCTGTTTTGGTGTTAATTTAGATGATAAATTGTTAGTAATTTTCAATTTTGTTGAGTGATGATGTTTGTATTTTGAGATATGAAGTGGTTGTGCATTTTGTTGGATTGTATGCTTTTTCAGATTTGTGGGAAGTTTTTATGCATTTTGTGTATGTTTTGTATTTTATGTTTATATTACATGGGCTTAAAAATGAAATTTGGCATGAATATATACATTTGTTGGATTGTAATTTATGTTTATACCACATTGGCTTAAAATGAAATTTAGATGTATAAATTTGTATGAAATTGGAATATGCAAATTGGATGTATACATTTGGCTTAATTAGGTTATTAATAGCAACTTACTTCTAGTAATGTACTGTATATGGTTTCAAAGTGCTTAATTTTGTTAGTGACTTAATGTTTGTCATTACAACTTTAGCTTTACTTGGATGAAATTGGCTTAATTGTAATTTATGTATACATTTGGCTTAATTGTATGAAATTGGATGAAATTGGAATATGCAAATTGGATGTATACATTTGGCTTAATTAGGTTATTAATAGCAACTTACTTCTAGTAATGTATTGTATATGGTTTCAAAGTGCTTAATTTTGTTAGTGACTTAATGTTGGTCATTACAACTTTAGCCTTAATTGGATTATTAATAGCAATGTACTTCTAGAAATTTTAATTTAATTATATAATAAAATTAAATTAATTTTAAAAAAATGAATAAAAAAATAATAAATTAAATTAAATTAGTTTTAAAATCAAGTTAATGTTAATATTAAAATAAAATAAAATTTGTTTAGAAAATTAAACTAATAACAAAAAAGAAAATATTAAATTAATTAGAAAATCAAATTAATTTACCTTTAGAATCAAATTAAGTTACCTTTATAAAATCAAATTAAATCAATTATAAAACCAACTTAATAGCAACATACTTTTAGTGACTTAATGTTGGTCATTACAACTTTAGCTTTAATTAGGTTATTAATAGCAACGAACTTCTAGTAATTTTAATTTAATTATAGAATAAAATTAAATTAATTTAAAAAAAACATTAAAAAAATAATAAATTAGTTGTAAAATCAACTTAAAGTAGTTTTAAAATCAAGTTAATGTTAATATTAAAATAAAATAAAATTAGTTTAATAAATTAAACTAATAACAAAAAAGAAAATATTAAATTAATTAGAAAATCAAATTAATTTACCTTTAGAATCAAATTAAGTTACCTTTATAAAATCAAATTAAATCAATTATAAAACCAACTTAATAGCAACATACTTTTAGTGACTTAATGTTGGTCATTACAACTTTAGCTTTAATTAGGTTATTAATAGCAACGTACTTCTAGTAATTTTAATTTAATTATAGAATAAAATTAAATTAATTTAAAAAAAACATTAAAAAATAATAAATTAATTGTAAAATCAAATTAAAGTAGTTTTAAAATCAAGTTAATGTTAATATTAAAATAAAATAAAATTAGTTTAATAAATTAAACTAATAACAAAAAAGAAAATATTAAATTAATTAGAAAACCTTAAACACTTTATGAATACTCTACTCTGATTAGTTGTTCACACTACAAGAAAAATCCTAAATAGCTACGGAAAGTTACTATGCAATCAAAATCCGTTGCTATTTTACTATGGAATATGCTACGGAACGACTTGTCGTAGCTATTTTGCTACATAAATGGTTACGGAATTGCATTATGTAGCTAAATCTTAAATAGCTACGTAAAGTTGTTACGGAATCTAAATTCATAGTTATTTTACTACGGAATATGTTACAAAATGGTTTGTTGTAACTAATTTGCTACGAAAATGGCTACGGAATTGCATTCCGTAGCTAAATCTTGAATAGTTGCTACGGAATTAAAATCCGTAGCTAGTTTACTACAAATAATGCTACAAGTTTTTTGGTTGTAACTAGTTCTCTATGAAACTTGTTACAAAATCCATGTATGTAGCTAGTTGGCTATATAATTGGCTACAAAATAAAAATCCGTAGCTAGTTAGCTATGGAATTAGGATCCGTAGCTATTTTGCTAGGAAAATTTGCTACAAAATAAAATTTTGTAGCTAATCTATTATGGAATTTGTTACAAAAAGATGAATTTGCAAAATAGCTACGAAATCAAAATCCATAGGTATTTGGCTACGGAAAATTCCGTAGTCAAGTAGTTACGAAATATGTTTCCGTAGCAAAATATAGAAGATTATTTAAAAATATATAATAAAAATACACAATTATCTTTGAAAACTCAACAACAAAAATAAAATATTATTTTTAATTGTTTTGAAAATTTAGTTATAACATAATTTCTACATTATAAAAAAAAGAATTAAAATGTTTTATTTTGATTTTTTAGTTAAAAAAGAATTATCAAAGGAATTGCCGCATAAAATTTGTTTCAATAATGTTTCAGCTTGTTTCAATAACGTTTCATTAGGGGCAAATTAGTAAATCCAGTAACCCCAATTTACTTCCTCCCAAATTAGAGGTATTTTTGCTGAGTTCAAATCCATCGCCGGACACAGATCTCATCTCTTCGTCTCTCTCAACCTGCTGCCGCTGCCGCCGTTGCTTAGCCACGTGGTCGCTGCTCACAACATTCCGATTTCATTGGTATTCTTCTATCACGGTAAGCATCTGTTGTTTCATGTTAATTTGTTGGAAGCATTTAAAAGACTTTTTGTCGAATATCCATCTTTAGAGAATCCAAGTTCTAGATTAGTTAAGCACTACCACTTATGGTGGGGTGTAAATTGAATTGTGATAAAATTTATGGGGTTGGGGTTAAATCAGGTACCCTCCTTGTGGGATGTGGTCCGTAACTTAAGGGAACTGCTCTTATCATTTCAATCTTACTTTCCAATGATACCCTTTGTCTTGAACACTTGTGGAAGACTGAAAGTTATCAATGGCATCAAGGGTATAATGGGTAACACAAGGAGTTAAAGTTATCTCAAATCATTTATTTCAGACCTTTTACAATCCACACATTCCCTCTACTGTGTTTTAAGTTAAAGCAACTGACATTGCCAATGGTAAAATGGTAATTTAACTGAAACACTTTATCACCTTAATTATATAATATGATGATGATGTTGATGATATGGTGGTATACTTTTACTTTTCAGTTCAAATGAATAAATGATGGATTTTTATTGATTGATCTGATTTTGCTATGTAGGTATGATGGTATTCAAGGGCTGGTGTACATCACAATGAGAGACATTGGACTTTTAATATTTTGGTTTTAAATTTTCAGGGGTTCCAATGACAGTTAATCAACTGATTGATTCTCTCATGGGTGGTGGTAGGAAGGTAATTCTTGCTGTTATGTATTTCTACCTTTTTTCAGTTATTATCATCCAAACATTTTGCTTTTAAAATATCAAACTTGTTTGACTTTGATTACCGGTTATATCATTATACTTGCACTGTTATCCTAATAAGAACCATTAATATTTTGATATTTTTTAATGTTTTGCACGGTTATAAAACATAACATTTATGAAATGTTATTTCGTTGTACTTATGCTTACTTCAAAAGAACAGTTTTGGTGGTATGATGATGAACAACCATTTGTCCCTTGGCTGCAGATGATGATGAACAATCACAGAAAATGAGTTATAAGCAAGAACAGGGGAAGCACACATTGACAATTTTTCAGTACTTAACCCAATCAAGTATGGTTTAACAGGAAGGGCATTTTAGTCCATTGAAGTGCCCAAATTAGAATCGAATATCCATCTTTTTTCAACTTTAATTTCATTCATGTCGATAACTCATTTAATTTGTTTACACTTTTTGAAGTCTCCATGATTGACTTCTCTGTCACGCATAGAAACTAACATATTGCTAGGCATAAAAGTCTCCACCACAGTAAAAGAATAAAAGTCCTTAAAGTCTCTACCGCAATAAAAGGCCTTATGACTGAAACCAACATCATGGGATGAATTTAGAAGTGAACAATTAAATTCATCGTCTTTGAAACGACAATTAATTATTATTATTATTATTATTATTTTTTCGTATTGTAGATTCTTGCAACTACTTTACCCTTGTGAAACATATAGTTATTTTAAGAAGTTTCAAAAAATATGGCTATTGTTGAAGCATGAATGCATTATCCTTGATAAAAATACATTTCTTAGAACTTGGTGAAATCAGTTCTCTCAACACCTTATTGGGAAGCTACAATACAAAACCCACAAAGCAGACCACTTTTCCAGACAACAAACACGAAAAGATCCATCTTGCTTGCTTCCTTGTCCATTTATCACTTTCTGAAGCAAGAAGCCTATTCCCCTACAAAATACAATAAAACTATTAATGTAATACAAAGAAATGAAAGCATCCGTTCTTTCATATTTTTGGAATTTGTGTGACATTGGTGTAAGCATCTGTTATATACTTTTTTTTTATATTTGTGTGACTTTAGTATACGTATATACTTTTAATCGTTATGCTTGTAAGCTTTTATTAAAAGAATGATTTTGATTAATGGTGTTGTTATTATTGATATCTTTCTTGCTAATCTTTTATTATTCCCTGATTACACCTAGTTTTTGATATTTGCGTGCAGATATAATAAAATGAGCAATAGAAATAGAAATTGGATGTATGAACGACTTGATGATCGTGGTCATGTCTCTCATGTTTTCATTAATGGTGTGAAAACATTCATCGAGTTTGCTTCTACTAAGCAAAGTTATATGGATGGAGATAAAATTAAATGCCCATGCACAAAATGCAATAACAAAGCATATAAAGCAGTTGATGAGGCAAAATATCACTTATACAAGTTTGGTTTTGTTCCAAATTATGGGTTTTGGGATAAACATGGAGAAACATCATTGGATAGTATTTTCTTAGGAATGAATGATACATACACAAGTTTAAATGAACACCATGATCCTACTTATAGAGAAATGGTTATGGATGCAGCGGGTCCTGATTTCATGACTAGAACTCTTGATGAGGAGCCAAATCCAGAAGATAAGAAGTTTTTTGATATGCTAGAGGCAGCCGATAGAGAGTTGTGTCTTGGTTGTAAAAAGGCGACACAACTATCTGTTGTAGCTCGACTATTGAATATCAAATCAGAATATCGCATCCCTGAGTTATGTTTTGATGCCATTTGTCAATTGATAAAGGATGGGTTACCAGAGGAGAATAACATGGTTGATAGTTTATACGAGAGCAAAAAGTTAATACAAGCATTGGGTTTACCTGTGGAATTGATTGACTGTTGTAGGTCTGGATGTATGTTATATTGGAGGGGCGACAAAGATCTTGATCGGTGCAAATTTTGCAACGCACAGAGGTACAAAAAGTCAAGAAATTCGTCTACACGTTCGCGTATACCTTTCAAGAGGATGCATTATTTTCCTTTGACTCCAAGGTTGAAGAGTCTATACGCTTCACAAACAACAGCCGCTTCCATGCGATGGCACGCTGATAATCATGGCCACCATGCCGGTGTAATGTGTCATCCATCTGATTCTGAAGCATGGAAGCAGTTTGATATTAACCATCCTTTATTTGCAGCCGAAAGACGTAATGTTAGATTAGGCCTATGTACAGATGGGTTTCAACCCCATGGTGCTTCAGGAAAACAATATTCATCTTGGCCTGTCATTATAACACCTTATAATTTGCCACCGTTTATGTGTATGAAAGAGCCTTACATGTTTTTTACTGCAATTGTGCCCGGACCTACAAACCCTAAGCAAAAACTAGATGTCTTCCTTCAACCAGTTATTGCAGAACTCAAACAGTTATGGGAAGAAGGTGTTTTAACTTATGATGTTTCTTTGAAACAAAATTTTCAATTAAGAGCTGCATTGATGTGGACAATTAGCGATTTTCCGGCATATGGAATGTTATCAGGATGGGCAACCGTAGGGAAGCTAGCATGTCCATATTGTGGGAAACATACACAAGCTTTTAGGCTTGAAAATGGTAAGAAGATATCATGGTTTGATTGTCATAGAAGATTCCTCACCACTGATCATCCATATAGAAAAGATAAAAATAAGTTCAAAAAGAATCGTGTAGAGACAAAAGGTCCTCCTCCAAGTATGAATGGTGAAGAAACCATAAGGCAAATTGAAGAACTTGGTTTGTTAAAAGTGACTGAACTTAATGCCGACGTAGTAAATAAATCACGTGGCAAATGTGGTTGGAAAAAGAGAAGCATATTCTGGGATTTACCATATTGGAAAACAAACCTCATTAGACATAATTTTGATGTTATGTATATTGAGAAGAATTTTTTTGAGAATATGTTTTACACTATAATGGATGTTAAGAAGAAGACAAAGGACAATGCAAATGCGAGAGATGATCTGAAACTCTATTGTAAGAAGAGAAAATGAGTAGATCAAAATCAAAGAGCATATTATGCATTAGAGAAGAGGCAAAAGAAAGTCGTATGTGAATGGGTAGAGAGTTTGAGTTTCCCCGATGGTTACGTTTCAAATTTGGGGAGGTGTGTAGATTTGAGTGCATGTAGACTGTTTGGAATGAAAAGCCATGATTGCCATGTTTTTATGCAAAGATTGTTGCCGATTGCATTCCGCGAGATGTTGCCAAAAAATGTGTGGGAAGCAGTTACTGAGATAAGTCTTTTCTTCAAAAGCTTAACGTCAACAGTAATTACAATAGAAGACATGAAAAGGATTGAAGCTGAGATCCCGATAATTCTTTGTAAATTAAAGACCATCTTTGTCCCTGGTTTCTTTGACTCGATGGAGCATTTGCCAATACATTTACCGTATGAAGCAATGATAGCTGGTCCCGTGCAATATCGATGGATGTATCCATTTGAGAGGTTTGTTTTGTAAATCACATTATATTTCAAAATTGTAAGTTGTCACTCTTGTTTAACATATCAAATGTTATGCTTTAGATTTCTTCACCAGTTGAAAAAAGATGTGAAAAATAAAGCTAGAGTGGAAGGGTCGATTTGCAATGCATACTTAGTTCGTGAAGCATCAAACTTTTGCTCTTACTATTTTGAGCCTAGTGTTCATACACGTAACAGAAAGGTGCCTCGAAATGATGATGGGGGAGTTGAAGATGATGATGACAACGAAAAATTAACTATATTTTCATATCCTGGCCGCCCATATGGGAAACTCAAAAGTAGAAGTCTGACTGATGAGGAATTCAATGCAGCACATTCTTACATATTGGTTAATGAAGAGAAGATGCAACCTTACCTTAGGTAGTATTATGAAAAACATTTAAGTCGGTTTTTATTTAAGCTCAAAAGTTTAAACAATTTAAATGGTAATGTACAGGAAGTATGAAGAGTCATTGAAAGACCTAAATCCGGATATAAGTGAAGATGATCTTGCTGCTGAAGTGGATGAAAACTTTGCTACATGGTTTCAAAACTATGTGAGTTTTTAAGTTGTTTTCTTTTCTTTTGAGAAACTTCTAATGTAATTCATTCTTTGTCATATAGGCACGCCAAAATGAAATAAAGAACAAGTACATACATGATCTTTCGAGAAGACCATTGAGGACTGTGAAATTATATAATGTATACTTTGTAAATGGGTACAAGTTTCACACGGAATCACACGGTGCGAACAAATCAACAATGAATAGCGGAGTGTGTATAAGTAGCCCATTTGGTGATTACTATGGAAAGTTGTTGGAAATATTAGATGTTGAATACCCCGGTTTTCCAATTAAAACAACAACATTGTTTAAATGTCATTGGTATGATCCAACACCTAATGTAGGAGTCAAGGTTCACAACCAATATAACTTGGTTGATATAAACCAACGAAGAAAGTTCAAAAAGTTTGAGCCATTTGTTTTAGCCATGCAAGCTACTCAAGTCTGTTTCATTCCTTACCCGAGCTTGAAACAAAACAATTCTGATTGGGTGGCCGTATGTAAAGTTAAACCTCGTGGATGGAGTGAGATACGAAAAAAAGACGTTGCTTTTCAAGAAGATGAAATTAAAGCAAATGAAATCATTAGCACTATACCAGAAACAATCGAGTATGGCATCTTAAGCAACGAGTTAGATAATGAAAATAATGATGAGGGTGAGTTTGATGATGAAACTGAGGGTGAGTTTGAGTATAGTACATCAACCAATGAAGAAGAAGACAACGACGAAGAAGATAATCTTTTTGATTGTGATTAGCATCTTAAGGTAATTACTCATTTACCCCTTTGAATTTTATCAATTTCTACATAATTGTTTTTTGAAATTTACTGTTATAACTTTATTTCTTAACCAAAAGAGCAACATTTTTGTAACTTTTATAAGCACATGGGTCATTTCTGTAAATTCTCTAAAAGTCATGGACCAAAGTTACATTGTATTGGTAAAATGACCGAATGAATAATGATCATTTTCGCAAGTGTTGTTGCTTGATTAATATTGTCCAACTATAAAAAGGTGTAACAAAATACATAAATGCCCTTGTTATCCATAATCTTTTATCCCAAAATTCATATCTTTTGACCGTGACTCGTGTCAATGGGACAAAACTAGCAATTTTTTGTCCCAGGCAGAAAGCTGGGACAAAAGACCTAAATGCCCTTTTGATTCAACACAACATGAAAGTAGTGTTTGTAGTAACTAAACTATAATGTTTGCTATCATTAACTAAAAGTAGATATTTACAGGTTTTGAAATGTGTCAAAGGAATGGAATCCGTCAAAGAAATGGAATCGGTCAAAGGAATTGGAATTTGAAGAAATTGAAATGTGTCACGTGTCTGGTTAGAAGAGTTTGTAAGGAGAATGAAATGTGGCACCACATGCTTAGAGCTTATTATATAGGTGAAGAAAAGATTATTGTTTTTTTCATGTCTTTTTTAAAAATCCAAGCTTAATTGGTAGGCAAAAATCTGATGTCTTTTTTAAAAAGTATCATGGTATAATAAACACACAAATAATGGTAATAGCGACCTACTTTTTGTTATAATCTGTAAAGGGGTAAAAAAGTCAATTTTAGTTTGTGTTGAGGGGTAGGGGTCTTTAGTGTACATTAACATAGTAAAAAATAAACTGTTATACGATTGATGGGAGATTTGGTTATTTTTTATATTAACTTTTTGACACCCAATTGTTAACAAAGGTCTCTTTGTAACCTCTACATGGAAGTATTCCTACGTTTCATATACTATCATTTTTTGAACGACCCTTAAACAAATTAAAAGTCTTAAGAACTGATTCTCTTAACCATTATGAAATTAAAATCATTCAATTCAGCATTTAACTCAATTTACCAAACAAGCCTAAAACACATTCGTTTATTCCATTTCATGTTCTTTAACAATCTTTCGGTTTTGGCAAAAACTATATTTGACAAATTAACTTTTTCATGTAAAATTAACTTTCGGTTTTGGCAACTTGCTTTCATAGCAATGTACTTTTTATGTACATTTCTATTACAGGTAAAAAAAAACATATAAATCACATTACCTATAAAGAAACAACAAATATATATAATATATTTGTTTACTCATAGAAGTTTGAACAATAAAAACAATCAAACAGTTGAATATCTGATGGTGTATGTATGATTCATATGTATTAATGTTACAAAGACTCGGTGGCAAAATTGTAATAACATGGTTTGACTTTTTGTTGACTTAGTGAAACTCATCAATCTCAAATACTCTTGCAGTTCCATCAAGAGAAACAGAAACTAAATAGTTTCCATCAGCTGATACAGCCAATGACTGAATAGCATCAGAGTGTCCTCTTAATGTCTTAACACATTCTCCAGACAAACTGTCCCATATCCTCACTCTCCCATCCACACACCTACCCATGACAGACACGTCACCCCCTCCCGCTCAACAACAAAACATGAATATGTTTAAAAAAAAAACATGTGAAAATACTTTTTTACCCTTTTCAAGATATGATTAAACGAACCTCGTGTTCACAAGTGCAACGGGGTATAGACTATAAAACTGAAAAGACTTTTTTACCCCTGGAGTGTTGTAGATCCCAGATGATGAGTTTTTTATCCATGCTTCCGGTTGCTGCCCATGGAGAGCTGACACATGAATTGATGTCATGTAGTTAGTGAAAACTGAAAAGACTTTTTTACCCCTGGAATGTATAGACTATAAAAGTTGTCTTCGTTTGAAATTAGATGAGAGCCCGATGCATTCGATTGAATCCGTATGTGAAGTTAGAGAAGTCACAACCTGTGTTCGAAAAAAAAAAAATAATAATAATTAAAATATGTAAACAAAAAAATAAAAAGAAATATGAAAAATTAATGGATTAAAATAAAAGAGACCTTTGTTAACAATTGGGTGTCAAAATAAACTGAAAATTTTATGCAAACAAAATCTAATCTCTTTAATATGTTACCATGCTAAATTGCCGTTAAGTGGAAGTGAGGTAATATGCTTATAATCATTTTGATTATGGTAACTACGCTTGCTTTTTGTGTAATACTTCAATAGACTAAATGTAAAAATCGTAATATGGTTTTACTAATTTGTTTATTACAACATGTAAATGATTTTTCTTTTTTATAATTGAATTCAATTTCCAGAATATATCCGAAAAGATGATATACAACCACAGTTTCCATTTAGAACATGTAAATATAATAACTAATTTGTGTATTTTTCATTCTTTTACAAAAAACGGTTTCCATTTTATAACAAAGTGATAACCACAGGGACCATAACTGTAATTTACTCATATTTTCAATCGCCGATCTCATTCCTCATTCCACAAACGGTTTATCTCGATCGTCTTCATCATCGTCTGATTTGCTTTGTTCGTTCGCCGCTGCTCCGTCAACCGGTCGATTTTTCTCGATCGTCTTCATCCCTACCAGGTAACATTCTTCTCTCTTCATTCCTCATTTGTTTATGTTTCTCGATTTTTCTCTTTAACACGTTAAATTCGCAAAGAATTGGATGAAGCTGCACAGGGATTCAGAGGTCTTACGATTATTTTCCCTCTCCAATCCCTCTGTGACATTTCGTCGAACACCTTCCGACTGTTCGTGAACATTATTAACTTCATCATCAATTTGATCATCGCCTGTAGGAGGCAATTCCGGTCCGATAATCTGCCTGCGGTGGGAAGCAGCTTCTTTGAGTTTCTTTCTTTGAAGTCTCTTCCTCTGAGCTCTTGTGAGCTTTTGAGACCCTAATTCATCATCGTCCTCGCTTGACGCCGAGAAGTTCGTTTCCGCTTCTCTCTCCAATTCATCTGTATCTATAAAATTCTCTCCAATTCATCTGTATCTATAGCATTTAATTAATAACATAGTAACATACCATGCCTTGGATATGTAGTACAAAGGTCAATCTAATGGATATTCTTCAAAAGAATTGCCATGGCTTCCTGATATAGTTAAAGATTTTGTTCTTCCTGCTGGCTTCCCTGGTTTGTTCCTTTTTCATTTTCACCTCATATGGTATCTCTAATATTTTTCTTCTCTAATTGTTTTTTTTTTTTTTCAAAATCAGGATCTGTTTCAGATGATTACTTGGAATACATGTTGTTACAGTTTCCAACCAATGTCACTGGATGGATTTGTTACACATTGGTCACTTCAAGTCTTCTAAAGGCATGTCAATCTAAATCAAGCCAGTACTTCTGATTGGGTATCAATCTAACTTGCTACCTTTTTTCTAATTCTTCTTTCTTTCTTTCTTTTTATTAGCAAACAAACATTTTGATTCCCTAATCTAATTTCCTCTACTTCTTATTCCCTTTGTTTTTCATTTCATTCATCTCTTTTTATTCTTTTTGTAATTATCATGATCTTTTTGTTCTATGTCATTGTCTAGTACTTAAGGCTGAATCATAGATTTTGTAAAGGATAGAATATAGAATTATAGATTATAATGTTCTTTGATTATCGTTTTTTTTATAAAATTCTGTGAATTTATATAATACAGGCAGTTGGTTTAGACTATTCTTCTGGAACCACAGCTGCAGCTTCTGCTGCTGCCATCAGGTGATTTTCTATATAACTTGATACTACTATAATAGTATAATTGCAAGAATTTCTTTTTAGGGTTAAAGATATGATTATATAACTTTAACATATTTACTAAAAACATGTAGATGGGTGTCAAAAGATGGAATTGGTGCCATTGGACGTTTTTTCATTGGTAGGTTTTCTTCAAAATCTCATAAATGGATACAAAAACACCAAATTTGTGCATTAACCATGATGGATTTGCCTTTCACAGGTGGAAGATTTGGAAATCTTTTTGATGATGATCCAAAACAATGGCGCATGTATGCAGACTTCATTGGAAGTGCTGGAAGGTGACTAATGGATTTTTTCTGTTATCCACTTAATACCAAGTTTTTTTTAAAAAAAAATTTTAAATTAATTTTTTTCCCCTGTGTTTTAATGTGATATGCAGCATCTTTGATCTCACTACACCTCTCTATCCTGCATATTTCCTCCCACTAGCATCTTTAGGGAATCTTGCAAAGGTATGCAAATTTACAAGATTGATCGAATAACAAAAGCATTAAAAGTTAAAAAATAATATTCATTTTCTTTGTTGTGTGCTTTAAAATTTTTAGATATTCATTTGATTGATATTTTTAGTAAAGGATCTTCTGAAATGCATCGCGAACAATACGAGGATAATAATGCCGAGACAAAAGTCGAGATTGAGAATTTGAAGAAGTTAGTTGAGACACAACGCGAACAATATGAGGATATTCAACAAAAATATGAGGATGTTCAGCAAAAATATGAGGATGCTCAGAAAAAGAATGTGGAGTTTCAGCAGAAAAATGTGGATGTTCAAGCAAAGTTTGAACAACAACTTGCACAAGCAATGAATGTCATTAACACATTGAGTGAACAAGTCAAAACTTTTATTAAACAATGATAGAATATTATGTATCGAATAATGTTTTACGTTAAATTTGTAGCGACTTTTAATTTTGAAATATGTATCTTTTGATGTATTGGATATTTCTTTTTGTTTCTATAGAAATACTTTGTTATTTTTGGTTTTATATTAATTGTATTTTTGTAAATTGATATAATAAGTCAAATTAAATAACCGAATTTTATAGAAAAAATGGTATTGAACGATTGTTATGGAATTGACTACAAAAAAGTTGTTACGGAATTTGCTACGGAATGAATGGCTACGGAATTTGTTACGGAACGAATGGCTACAAAATTTGCTACGGAACAATTAGTTATGGAATTTGCTATGGACTAAATGGCTACGTAATTTGCTACTGAACAATTAGCTACGGAATTTGTTATGGACCAAATGGCTACGGAATTTGCTACGGACCAAATGGCTACGGAATTTGCTATGAACCAAATGGCTACGGAATTTGCTACGGAACAAAATAGATACGGAATTTGCTACAGAACTCATTGTTACGGAATTGTGATGGAAGTGTGTTGTAGTTGAAATGCTACGGATAGACGTCGTAGCAACGGCCATAGCAAAATTGCTACGGAACTATAATTTTGTATTTAAACATTTTGCTACAAGAAATCTTACTATGGAATCTCATTGGCAAATTCCGTAGCAACTTCCGTAGTTATTTAGGTTTAGCTACGGAATTACATCATTTTGCTACGGAATTTTTCCGTAGTTAAATCGAAATTTTCTTGTAGTGTCATGTGTTCCCGTGTTGGGATACTTTTTGAATCATCAACTTTATGAATACTCTACTTGATTTTTGTTTCCCGTAAAGTAAACCTCAACCATTAGCGACGACAGGCATCGCCGCTAATACCCAGACTTCTTGTAGTGACAATGCACATCTTAAGATAGATGGACTTGATGAGCTTTTCAGGGTTGCTCAGGTAAATATATTTCATGTAAATGTAATCTAAGTAGTATATTAATTAGTAAATGTTTAATTCCTAAATGCTCATCCCAGTTACTTGCTGATGGTGTTATTCCAAATGACTATGGCATCAACCCAAAGCAAAAACTAAAAATAGGCTCCAAGGTAACTAACTATCTCAACACTTTTATCTATCATATTTTTGGCTTCTTTTTATTTATTTATATATCACCAACTTTGCTGATGGTCTTATTCCAAATGTGTTGGTATTTTGAATGATCTAACCGTTGGGTTTAGTTTTTTTTTGAAATATACGCTTTTTGCTAGCGAATTACTTGTATATAACAACTATATAAGGGCAGGTAATAGTGACGTTTCGAGATTTCTTTTTGTTTTTTGCTTTTCCTTTACGAAGATTCTTGCAATTCAAGTATTTTCCCTTATCCTTTTTAATGCACGCCAACTGTTCGTATAAATGCAGGGGTGAATTTCTACCACAAATCCAAAGTTTCTAGAGCCAGAGACCATTAACAATGGATAAATTAGACGATTTTGAAGAGACCTCTGATTTAGGATTTGAGTCATCAACGATTTCTTCATTGGATCAAGGAGGAGATGATCATGATCATGACCATGATCACGATGAATCACCTACAGTCAATTCAACACTCAGTGGCAATTCTTTTGCTTACTATAGAACTAACTCAGAGACTTCAGCTTTCTCCGAGCAATTAACAGATGACAATAACAGCTGCTCATCGGAGACACAGTCTCCGGTCAGCTGGCCGGCCACCGGAAGATCCCCTTACAGGCCAGCCCTCTCAACATTTGGTCTAATGAAGCCCAACCATAAATTTGAAAATGAAGATAAACCCGAGAGTCGTTAACCTATGGATTTAGGTGAGAGTTTTTAATTTTTATTGCATTTCAATTTATTAATCTATACATTTTTTTATACAAAATCTTTCTTGGAACAGAGCTTGAAATGATGAAAGAGAGATTTTTAAAGCTTTTGCTGGGAGAAGACATGTCTGGAAGTGGTAAAGGAGTTTCAACTGCAGTTACCGTGTCTAATGCCATCACAAATCTTTATGGTATGAAAAAGACTTAAATGCCCTTGTATGATGAAATTCCATGCGTTATCATATGATTGTTTTTATGATCTATTGTTTTGATGTTTTCAGCTTCTATGTTTGGTCAACACCAAAAGCTGGAACCTTTGCATCCTGAGAAAAAGATGATGTGGAAAAGGGAGATGAACTGCTTACTTTCCGTTTGTGATTACATTGTAGAGTTCATTCCTTCATCACATAGTTTACAGAATGGAAAAGCCATGGAGGTACCCATAAAAAAAATGTTGTTTTTATTATTGTTTCTGTGTTGTTTTTATTATCACTCTTTATTCAAGTTGCTGATGAAGTTTGCATGTGTTGATTGATTTAATTACAGAAGAAGTGAAGGCCAAACATCCAAGAGTTACATACGCTGATCTCTATCAGGTGATTAATTAATTGTTTAAATACCTGCTTGATTACATGCTAATAGCTTCAATTTAGTGGTTACATCATTCTTAAACTTATGGTATTTTGATAAAATTGTAACAAATGAACTTCAAATTCACCCTTTTAATTTCCAAAATTATGATGAAATATATGTTGTTCAGCTTGCTGGAGTTGTTGAAGTTGAGGTGACTGGAGGCCCCACCATTAACTTCGCATCTGGAAGGAAGGTATAATAAATTACAGTAATATTTTAGCTATTAATTAATAAAGCAGTTTCTTATATTAATTATAACTTCTCTACTGTATACTTAACTTTCTTATTCTCTATTTATTTATTTTTTCTGAAACAGGATTCAAATGAGTCACCTGATGAGGGACTTCTTCCTGATGCCAAACAAGGTCAGTTGATTTACTTAATTTGATCAATTTCACATATTCGAATTCTTAATTTTAATGTATCTAATCTTTAGGTGCAGCACATCTGAGGGATGTGTTCTACAGGATGGGGCTATCTGAAAAGGATATTGTCGCACTTTCTGGGGCCCACACTTTGGTTGGTTTTCCACTCATAATTATAAATTCCATTAGCCTTTGAACTCCAGGTTAGTACTGTCTTCACCTATTTATGACAAATCTTCCTGTTTACTTTCATTTGAAATGTTCAAATGTTGAAATATGAAGACATCCAAGTTGCTGATTTGTAAGCTTTTGCTGAGAAGCATTATGCTGATTTGCTGAGAAGCATTATTATTCAGGTTTGAAATTCTTGACTTCTTGACATATGATAAGAGTAGGCTTCCACCATGTAAGTATGTTATCATTCATGGTTGATATATAATATAAGTATGATATCATTCATGGTTGATATATAATATATTATCAGATTGTTTACTTTTCATATTGTAGGATGGTTGGATTGTCCTGCATATGGTCATGAAATAGGTTGTATTGTTCCTTCTAAAGTTCGTCTTGGTGAGTCTTTTAATGTCTGTATTGTCCTTGGTAAAAGATACTCCTTTAGACAAGTCATTCACCAACAAAGGGTTTTGGGGAGGAAGGTGAGTATATGTTATCAACTCGACATGAAGAATAAAAACAAAAAAAAGTTTTTCAAGAGATTAAGCCTCATAAGACAACATTAAAGAATAAAATTAACTCAAGTATGTGATGACAACAAGGTGTTAAAACTAGGTTAATTCTCAATAATAATGATAGTTCAATAGTAATTAACAAATTATAATATGGGTTTATTTTCTAATTCTCTAACTTGATTACTTATTTTTTGTAGCTTATGGGAAACATACTTTACTACTATTGGAGAGCCCATACAATTGTGGTGACTAAAGATGACATCATGTGGAAACAGAAGCATAACAATAAGAAGTAGAAACAAGAAGGTGTTCCTTAATAGCAATGTAGTATTAGGTTATATAGTTAGGGAAAACCTCTTATTAACAATGTACAATCGGATCCCCTTAATACCAATGTATTACAATTTTTTGACATGATGTTATGGATGAAATTGATTGTTTTGGTATATATTTGTTTCCATATTTTTGTATTATGCGTAAATGAGTATCGTAAAGACGCGTCGTAAATATATATCGTAAATGGTTGCTGAAGTTAATGACACGCAAATGCGTGTCATCTTCATTTATGACAGGGGCTTTAATGATACGCAATGCGTGTCCTAAACGTGCGTCGTAAGGTTACGACACGCAAATACGTGTCGTCTTCCTTTATGACAGGGGCTTCCTTGATACGCATTGCGCGTCGTAAACGCGCGTCGTAAATGCGTGTCATAAATGTGCGTCGTAAATGCGTGTCGTCTATAGACGACGCGCAAAAGCGTGTCGTCTCTCGTTATGACAGGGCCTTCCTTGACACGCATTTGCGCGTCGTCTGAGCGTTTTACGACACGCATTGCGCGTCGTAAAAGGCTGTTTTTCTAGTAGTGATGGAGTGATTTCATGGATGAAATCAAAGGGTTGTACTAGATAAAGAGATGTAACAACAAATCAAAGGAAAGAATTCTTACATTTTTAGAAGATCAAGATGAAGATCCTATGATACTTGAGAGAGAATTTGGGTTTTCTAGACTTGAAATGAAAGAAATGAGGAAAAGTGGTGGAAACTCATGTATATAACATGAGTTTACGGCCAATCATGAGTTTACGGCCCAAACTCATGAAGGTTTGGCCGTAAACTCCACATGATGGGGTTTAAGCTTGATTAGTGCACAATGGACTCAAGCAGATACTTCCTAACACCCGATTCTTGAATG